ATAGCTCAAGCGGTAGCTGGGCCCACTCAGATCATGATTTAAGTGCCGATTGACTGAATCAGAGCAAACATGTCCATAGGCTGCCCTGTTTGAGCAGCCATCCCCAGTACAGCCTCTCCTGTTGTTCCGGTGTAAACTGTGTGACATCTATTTCCTTAACAGTAACAGGCGCTTTGTCTGCACCTGTCTTGTCTACAGCTTTTAATGTGTTTATGCCTCTTTCCTCACCAAACTGTACACTTCCCCTGTCTGTCTTCTCCTCCTTTGGCTCTGAATTCTCACTATAAATCTGGATAAATGCATCGAATAGCAACCATGTCACAGCTTGGACACAATGCTGTCATGAAACTTCCCCTGATAAATAATCTAGTCTATTGCTTTTATATTCAGCATCACTCACATTTTCAACACAAGTTAGCAGATTTTTTGCCAGAGGGTTACACACACAAATGACTACTAGTCCAGTTCCTTCCTGACTGAGTCTTCTTGTCTGAAGCCTTCTGAGCATGCTCTACATTTTTCTTTATCCTTCCTTCCTTCCTTCCTTCCTTCCTTCCTTCCTTCCTTCCTTTTCTGCTGTGTGTTGTATATATGGTGTGCATGCATGTTTGCAGGTATGGGGATACACATGTGTGTTTAGGATCATGAGCACATGTGTGTGTGTGTGTGTGTGTGTGTGCACGTACATCTGGCAGAAGCAACTTCGGCGGGGGGGGGATTAATTCTGGCTCAAGGTTTCAGGCTGTCGTGATATAGAAGGCATAGTGGCTGCTGTGATTCAGCTTGTGCTGCAGTATAGTGTTGCTTGTTTGGTGGATCAGGAAGCAGAAAGCTCAGGCCAGAACCAGCAGAGGATACCTCCCAGGCTGGAAGTAATTCTCTTCTGCTGGCTTGACTATAGTCCCAAAGGTTCCACAACTTCAACACCACCAGGAAATCTTGTGTTCAACACATTAACCTCTGAGGAACGCTCTGCACTCAAACTATAATAAGGACCTTTGTCTGAAGTCCCTAATAAACCATGCCACCCCTAGTGGAAGAAAAGGCTCTGCTTTTCAGTCTTGTGGACACAAGGCTTTTGGTCATGTGATTAATGGGAATGTGAAGTGGGGGGAGATGGCCTGTATTCCTCTTGTTCTTTGCGAGCAGGAAAGCTGTGATTCTTGTTGGTTATATAAGAAGCAAGTGGTTTCTCTAAGTGAGCATTATTTTTTCATGAGAAATATAGCTTAGCTGTACATGTAAAAATGTATTTCTATTAACCTTGCTTTGAACTCACTTCTTGCAAAAAGGATAATAACTCTGGTATTAGGCTGTGGGACATTCTTCCCCTCCCCTTCCCCTCCTCCTCCTTTCCTCCTCCCTTTCTTTCTCTTCCTGTGCATGAATACTTATTTGCATGTATGGCGATACACATGTGTGTTTAGGTTCATGCACGTGTGCGCACGTGTATATATGTGTATGCACATATATGTGTGTACACGCAAGTATGTGTGCATGTGCGTGCATGTGTGCATGCGTGTGCGTGTGTGTATGCGTGTGCGTGTGTGTATGTGTGTGCGTGTGTGTATGTGTGTGCGTGCATGTGTGCATGCTTGTGTGTGTATGTGTGTGTGTGCGTGTGTGTGTGTGTGTGTGTGTGTATGTGTGTGTGTGTGTAGACCCGAGGCTGGCATCCAGTGGCATCCATGGTCATTCTCTATCTCCTCTGTCAGGGTTTCTGTCAGCATCTTGGTGTTATCTTCCCACCAATATCCCCAACCAAATTCTGATTTCAGCCCTCCAGGGCTTCTTCTTCCCCTGAGTCACAGTCTCATTTTCTAGCCTAGACTGACCCTGAGCTTGCAATTATCTGCCTCAGTCACCTTAATGCTGGAAATACAAGTGTGCACCATCACACCTGGTTCATTTTCTTATTCTTGACTTTCATTCGATTTCAAAGAAATGAAAGCCATTTAACTACACTTTTCTACCCACCATAGATAAAAAGCACCAACCTGAATTATATTCTTTCTTCATCTTAAATTGAATCTGTGCCAACTTGGCCCTCAAGGGGCTCTCAGTGACTAAATGTATCTCCCGATATATATTATATACAATATAATCTCTTTCTCTTAAGTTGGTCTTGTTGGTTTCATTCTGATGGATAGGCAATGACAAAAGTGATGGATGCTGCTTTAAGATTACCATACATGATCAGTTTTGTTCCCCATGTTGTAGCTTACAGAAAAGCCCCTGTAGCTCAGGACTGAGGTATGACCCTGTAGGCTAGCTAGGCCACCACTCTGACCAATAGCTCCACTGTGTCCTCACAGGAAACCATGGGCAAGGGGAGTCATGCTAGGTCTTAGCTAGAGTCCTGACTCATAGAAATGAAAGGATAACAAATGGTTGCTAAGATTTCTCAGTGTTGAGTAATTAGTTCTGTGGCAATATCCATCAGCCACATGTCATTGTGCTGAAATATCTGGCACAGACTGCTGATGAAGCAAAGTAAATATGCTTTGGCTCGTGGTTCTAGAGTTTTAAGTCCAAGACTTGGTAATTCCATTAGTCCTACTGGGTCTTGTGGTGAAGACCATATATTCAAACCATACAACAAGACAATCTCCATGTGCTGGTTAATCAAATGGTACAGCCTAGAGTTACTGCAGAAGATAGTTTAATAAGGAATTATCTAGATCAGATTTTCCTGTAGGCATGTAGGGATTGTCTTGATGTCTAACTGATGTAGGAAGACTCAGCCTATTGTGGGTTGCACCAATTCCTTAGCGGTGAGATCTAGAACAGTATAAGAGAGAAGAAAGCTACCTGAGAGTCAGTAAGCAAGGATTTTCTGAAGCTGAGCTGGGCTATTCCTGAACTCAGAATTAACTGTAGAGAAATTGGAGTTTTAGATGCAGTAGACAAGGTTATCTTCATGTGGATCTGTGAATCAAATGCATGTCTTGTGCCTGTAGAGGGCAGAAGAGGGCATCAGATCCACAGGACCTGGAGTTAACAGGCACTTGTGAACTGCTCTGTGGATGCTGGGAACCAAACTCAAGTTCTCCGAAAGAGCAGGTAGTACTTTTTAACTGCTAAGCCATCTCTCCAGCCCCCACTTTTAGTACTTTTAACTGTGTGTGAGGTAAGGTAGTATGGGATATGTGAATGTAAGTGCAGTGCCTGCAGAGGCCAGAAGAGGGCATTGGATGCCCTGGAGCTTCAGTTACACGCAATTGTGAGTTACCTAACCTGTGTGCTAGGAATGGAACTCAGGGCCTCCGCAAGGGCATTCATTATACACCGTAACCACTGAGCCATCTCTGCAGCCCATTAGCTGAGATCTTAAGGTGAGAACCCTGCAACACTGGGCCAGCTGGGAACAGCGGAAACTCTGCTACCTCACCGCTCACCATCCTTTAGCCTTCCTGTCAAGGTTATGAAATGATAGACACGGCTAAATAAAATAAAGCTGAGTGTCTCAAGAGAAACCTCTGCAAGAAAGAAACAGCCACAGTATTACTCGTGTCAACTCATAAAATGACCAAACCAGTTTTTAAGAAATAGAACATACAACACAAGATATGACAACCATTTGCTAGAGACAAATAGACTCTGGGAACCTACCTAATGATGCACAGTGCCCGGGAAAGGGGGATTTCATTGCTGTCCTAACTAGTTTGTTGCCACGTGAATGTGCTGGGCACAGCTGTTTTATGTCAGCACATGTAGAGTTATAATCTCACAACCAAAAAGCAGAGGAAAACTGATGTCTTCAACAGACAACTTGTGACTTTTGACAGACAGCTTGAAACCCTGGATAAAACTGTAGCCATTATTGCTTCAGGTCATGAACTGGTATTGCTGAGGGTTGGAAAAACAAATGAGATTTCTGTGGAAACCATATGTTTTCAGACTGTTTCAGAATTTATATAGGAATTTATTCCAACTCCTTGCTCGGAAAAAGGGGTAAAATCAAGTCACTTGGACTCAAAATGTGAAGGAGGATGAAAGAGGGAATTCATGCTGAAGAGAGAAAGCTGGGCATTTTGGTTGGAGTAGTTGTGAGAGACGGGTGACCCCGTGAGTAAGAGCGCTGGCTGCTCTTGCAGAGGACGTGGACACATTCAGTTCCCAGCGCCTACCTGGAGGCTCACTAACACCTGCAACTCCGCTTCCAGGGATTTGTCACGTCTCCAGACCTCCAGGATCACCAGGCATGGGGCACGCACACGGTGCACACACATACTACATACGTGCAGGAAAAAAATCACTTGGGGATACATAAAATGAACAAATATAAAAATGCAAATGATTAGACCTCTGGGACAGCAGATATGACTCACTTGTCAGGGGTGCCCATTACTCTTCCAGGGAGTCTGAGTTTGGATCCAGAAACTGCATCAAGCAGCTCATAGCCATCTATAACTCCTCCTCCAGGGGATCTGACACTTTTTTTCTGGCGTCTCTGGGCACCTCCACATCCATGGCATACACTCACACACACAGATAAATAAAAATAAATATTATAAAAATAAATATTAAAAACTTACAATTTAAACCTTTATTCCCATCCTACAAAAGTGGGAAGACATTAGAGGTAGTTAGGAAAAGACTTATTATTAGATGTAGGTAGTAAAAGACTTAATTACTAGACAGGTTTAAGTAATTAGCTTGACAGTGGCCCCTTAGGGTGGTGAAACAGCGCTCTGCCCTTTAGGCTAGCTGGCCTGCCAGCAAACCCCAGGGATCCCTTGTGCCTGCCCCCCTGGAGTTGGGATTACAGGCTGTGCTAGCTAGTTTTAAGTCAACTTGACACCAGCCAGAGTCACTGGAAAGAAGGGAGACAGAATTGAGAAAATGCCTCCATTATTCTGGATGTTTTCTCAATTAGTGATCGATGACGGAGGGCCCAGCTCACTGTGGGTGGGGCTACCCCAGGACAGGTGGTCCTGGGCTCTATAACAAATCAAGCTGAGTCAGCAAGCAGCATCCTCCATGGCCTCCGCATCAGCTCCTGCCTCCAGGTTCCTGCCCTGAGCTCCTGTCCTGACTCCCTTCGGTGATGAACACTGATGTGGAAATGGAGCCCAGGAGAGCCCTTTCCTCCCCGAGTTGCTTTGGGCTGTGGTGTTTCATGACAGCAATAGTAACCCTAACCAGGACAGAAACTGGTACTGGGAGGGAGGCTTTACCATGACAGAACTTCCCATGTATTTTTGGGAGGATTATGGAGGACTTTGGAACTTTGGCCTAGAAGAGCCACTGAGTGTTGAGAGCTCAGTGAGCTGTTCTGTAGGAGCTTGGAAGATAAGCCTGTTGAGAGCAGGGCAGACAATGGAGGCCTGGCTTGTGAAGTCTCAGAGGGACACTAAGACTCTACCAGGTCATTAGTGTGAAGAATCTCTGTTGTCTGGTCAGCTAGAGCAGAAGAATCAGCTGTATTTACAAGAGGTCAGCCAACCATGAGGTGAAGTCTTGTGGGATGCGTTTCCGAGGCCCATGATGCACCCTGTGCTGGCAGCCAAACTTGGTAAAGTATAAGAGTCTTCTAGGTCATGCTGGTTTGGAAGGCACGAAGGGATTGTGCAGGGAATTTGAGGCTTGGCTTTAAGAGAGTCCAGGAGGGGCAGGAGCCCAGTTTCAGCAGAAGACCCCCAGCACTTTGGAGATGCCCATACCGTGGGATGACCACCAAGAACAGCAACAGTAGTTTAGGGGAGCCTACCCAAGCTTAGAGGACAGGCTGTGTGTGCGCCACAGAGGGCAGAGCCAGGGAGTACCCAAGCCCTTTGGAGGAGCCCAGATCTTAAGTGGCTCTCAGACGTTGAACAATACGTTACTTACACAGTAGGAGTTTGAGTTGATTGCAAATGGGCCCTGATTCTTTCCTTTTAAAGTAAGATTTTTTTTTTAATTTCACAGGAGCCTACAGTTGAAAGACTTTAAACTTTCAAAGATACTTTGGAATTTTACAAAGACTTTGGATTTTAGAAGGAAGTTTGGATATTTTAAAGAGACTTTGAACTTTCAAATATTTGGATTTTTAAAGACTGTGAGACTTTTAAAATTTGGAATCTTTTATATTGTGATATTTGTATTAATGTGAGATCATGGGGATAAGTAAGAAAGTTTGTGGCTTAATAGTGTTGTGTTGGTGTGTCACGTTAACAAGTAAGAAAGTTTGTGGCCTAATAGTGTTGTGTTGGTGTGTCACGTTAACAAGGGGTCAGTCGTGCGGGTGGTTTTATGTCAGCTTGACTAGACTCACTGGGAGGAAGGAGACCCCACTGAGAAATGCGTTTATGAAACTGGGCTGTACACAAGCAGGCTGAGCAAACCGTGGTGATCAAGCCCGGAAGCAGCAGCCTCCATGGCCTCTGCCTCAGCTCCTGCCTCCAGGTTCCTGCCCTGTCTGAGTTCCTGTCTCTACATCCTTTGACGACTAATAACACTGTGGAAGTGTTAGCCAAATAACCTTTTCCTCCCCAGCTCGCTTTTGGACATGGTTTCATCATAGCCATAGTAACCTTGACAAGGACCTAAGCTCACACTACTAGGCCTGGGTTTTAAGTGGGTTGAACTCAGGTCTTCATGCTTCCAAGAAAAGAACTACCCAGTGGGCTGTCTCCCCAACACCACCCTCCAGCCCCAAATACATGTTGTCCTTAAATAAGCACTGAGGTAAATGAAATGTCCCTCCCACGTCTATCCCTGCTCCCGGGAATCAGGGTCCACTGTAGGACCCTTTTCTGTCTGTGCCCACTGTCTCATCTGCTTTTCTCTTACCTAGAGAAGAAACTCATTCTGCTTCTGAGCTTGGAACATCTCTAGAGCTGAGGAGCTCCCCCCCCTTATCACACCTTCCTTCCTGATTAACGCCCCCCCTCCTCCCTGGAGAAGTCTCCACACGTCTCTTTCTCCCTTGCTTTTAGAACGTCCATTCACATTAAGCATTTTGGAATTGCACCACAGGCACCCAAAGCTCTGCTCAGCTCTTTTTATAACCCTTTTCCTTCTTTTGTGCAGGTCAAAAAAGTCTTAATTTTCACAGCTCCAATCCCTCCCATCGCCGCTCTACTGCTGTTGAGCTCAGCCAGTGCCTTTAAAAAATGGCAGCCTGAGAAATGTCTTTCCGCAAGCTCCTTGTTGTTCCTTTCCTTGTGATTTTCTAGCTCTCTGTTCTTCTCAGAGATGTCTTTCCTTCTGTTCCATAGTTGTTCCATCTGAGTTGAAACATTCTCCCCTCAGGAGGAGGAGAGGAACCTTGTGAGACTCAGCAAGTAAACAAATATCCCAGACTGGGAAGCTGAAGTTTACAGTATTTACCAGGGCTCCCCAAGATGACAGACAATAAGTGACCACTGGAGAGGACACGGACCAGCTGGGCTGCGGAGAGGACGTTTTCAGACCTGTGGAGCTGCCTAGCGGTGCAAACAGCCAGCCTTCCAATTTTCGAAAGCTACTACCTGTGCGGTGGTGGGCTTTCCAGTGATACTCCTGCCTTTTAGTCATTCCTGTTCGTGTGAATAGCCCTCAGCCACACTCTTGTTAAGTGACCCCAGGGAACTCAGTGGGCCACTAAGCTGGACTTTGGTCTAATCCTTTCTTGGGTCTGCTATGGGTTTCCTGTCTGGAGTGAGTAGACATATGCGTGTGTCATGTCCAATACTTCTATCTTAGAGTGACAATAGCAGTTGTCCTAGACGTCATCTTCAAGTATTCACAGGGCTTTCTGGTAAGTCCCTCTTTCTGTCTATCTCATTGTCACCTGTACTGGATGTAACATTCCACCATGCAGCTTATTAATCCAACCCTGGTAAGACCATGGCTCTGCACACACAATATGACACCCGTATCTTCATGCCCCTTCTCTGTGTCTTCCTCAACACTTTCCTGTTCCCCACAGGCCTTCTTCCTTGATCTTTCCCCAGAGGATCGCGTTTCTCTTTTCTGTCTTTATGCAGTTTCTGTACCTGACTACCTGCCAGACTAAGGGAAGAGGACCTCTTGAGAGAGAGAGTAATATGAGCCAGGTGGTTTGCCTACTGCCTTGGGTTTGCAATGCTCTCCTTACAGGGGAAATCCTCTTCCCTGTAGAGATCTAGGAAGGTCTTGCCTGCCGTTGTTGGGATGGGCAGGTCAGAGCCGTGGTTCTGCCTGGTACTTGCGTTGGAGAGACATGATAGGGAGTTGTCCCTTCTCTTGGTTCTTAGACTAAAAGGCTCTATTCCAAGCTGGAGCTTGACCCAGAGATCTTATGTTCACACACAGGGTGCAGCCATATCTGTCTTAGAGTCATATTCAAGGACACCAGGACATCACTGACATCACTGACTCACCTGGGTTTGGGGAGACGCTGAACCTCCTCCCTGTCCTCTGTTGACCTGCTTGCACTTTCCTTAAGGGTTTGCAGAGTCATTGTGTTCTGTTTGTTCAGAATTGTTGAGCTCAGACGGACAAACAATGAAGCAACCCCTCTGTCTTCCCTGTAATTGACAACCAGATTTCATTCTTGAGTTATCTGGTCTAGTTTTCACATGTGTTTCCAGTGGGCAGCTCAATTTCTTTTTTATTCACTTGGGAATGGCTCCATAGGTCTCTAGATTTAAGAGTGTGCACTAATTTTTAATGCTTCCTCCGAGTTCATATTATTTTCAAAGAGATTAATATTAAAGGCTGCTCTTCCTGCTTCCAGGAGAAATGCTCTCAATACTCTCTTAAGTGCAAAAGAGAAATTTAACTACCCTTTTGTAACGTGCATTCTTCCTGCCAGCCTGGTCCCTGAGCTGCATCAGTCCCGAATGAACACACAGGACGCTATATTAATTATGAAGCTGTTGGCCATTTGTTATGGTTTATTAATGGCTAGCTCTGACTAAATCATTAGTCCATAATTACTAATATATATTTTATAAGGTCTTATCTTATAGAGAACGCTAGATTTGTGCCCTCTCCTGCCGGGATCACATGGCGACTCTCTCTTGACTACATTTTCCAGAATCCACCTCGACTCCTAGTCCCACCTATCTTGCTTCCCTATTGGCCAAAAGTGCTTTATTTATCGACCGATCAGACAAACATATACACAGAAGGACTTCCCCCATCACCCTTTAATACTGAAATAGGAAAACAAGATTCTTAGGATGCTGGAAACAACACCCCAAGATGTGTATCTGGCATGCCTTGCATCTTTGTGCATGTGTGCAGGGATACTGTGTGTTCTGGTGAATGTGCACGTGTGCCCATATGTGTGTGAAGCCAGGTGTCAATCATGGGAGGTTGTTTCTCATATACTGTCCCCGTTTTTTTTTTTTTTGTTTGTTTGTTTGCTTTGTTTTTTGTAACAAGGTCTCTCCTTGGCCTGGAACTCACTGATTCAAGTAGGCTGGCTGGCCAGTGAATCTTGGGCATCTGCCTGTCTCCACCTCCCTTGCAATAGGATTACAAGGACACAACACCACCTTGGCTTTTTAAATGTGTATTCTGAGGGACCGAACTCAGGTCCTCATGCTTGTGAGAAAGCACATTACAGACTGGACCACCCAACAGATATAACGTAAATGTGGATCTTATGGTTTAGAGAAGTCTGTGCACTTATATCAAACTAAAGGGTATAAAAAACATTGTGAAGCTAAAGCTTAAACCCCCCACAAATGGTTGCAGTCTTGGGCAGATACCTAGGTTAATGGAGAAGGCTGCCTTTTCAATATAGCTTGAAAGACATCACTTAGGCGGGCTCTGACCTTCAGGTGGAAGGCAACATAAATTACAGAGCCTGTGTGGGTCCTTATCTACGTTTTAGATAAGGGTTTAGTTATGAGTTCACCTGTCATTCTCAGGTTGTTTTAGACATACTAACAAATGGACACATCGCTTATCCAGACTTTTCTCTAGCAGGCTCAATGACAGCTTTCCCACACTATTGTCCCAGGGAACTGATTTCAGACTTTGATGCAGCTTCTTTCCTTTACTTGGAGGATGGTAAGACATTAAACCCATCATTTTCATCTGTCTGAAAACTCATGAAAAACTTCCTTTTTCTTAGAATGGTTTGGGCTCAAGTTCATTAACTGCAAATCTGTCCGGATATTAAACAGGAGTTGCCAGGGGTGTTTGTAATATCCAGTGTTCCTATGTAGAAATACATACTCTTTACCGCCATAACAATGACATAATTGCAGCTCATTAATGGTGATGATGTCACTTCTGTGCTAGATACTTGAAAGTATTTTAATCCAAGACACAATTGTGAGCACTTTCCTTCCTAATCTGCGTAACGTGGGCACAGCAATTATGACGGATGATAGAATGCTCCACCTGGCAGTTGTGGTTGCCATGGTGATGACCATGTGGGCCAGAAGACCTATGACTCACTGCATTTTTCTCTGCTTGGCTTCATTGCCGCCAAAGGGGAGAAATGTGCATCTGGCCATGAACTGCCTCTCGGGCCCGGTTGTTATCTCCAGGGCTGCCAGGGAGGAGGGAGGCATGGACAAGGCCCAGCTGCCTTATTAAAATCCATTTCTCCACATGAAAGGGTGGGTAATCTGTTTTGCAAAACCACAATCTGCAACAAAACAAGGAATATCTGATTTTGTATCATGGAGATGATGATGTGGCTGGTGTGGCCCAGCTCTTGGGGCCATAATTAATACCCTGTTTTCTATGATAGAATCAAAACCAATGTACACGACTTGGCTTCTGAGCCACATGTCAGCCATGGCAATAATTGTAAAGTGAAAGAAAAATAACACATTTTGATCTGTTTTCTGGTTCTCTGGCTGTGAGTCATGTATTTTTAAAACATCATTATCAGTTCAGAGAAGATGTGTGGACAATTTGAAGGCAAGATTCAGTTCTTGGAGATCCTGAATCCTACTTACTTGCAATACAGCTTTATGTCATCTGGGGAAAGAGTAACTGTACAATGGTAAGACTGGAGTAAGACACGGCCATAAAAATGTGTTCACATGGACTAATTCCCCTTTTCTGTGTTGTTACACCTGCTTGTGTTGTTACTCAAGACTGTAACGCCAAGTGCATGCACATACCTGCGATAGAACTTAACATGTAAATCAAAGTTAGAAATGAGTCTCCATACCTAGTGACAAAATGTATGATATACTGTAATAAGAATGATCTA